ACCTTCTGGAGGTACTTCTGAAACACTTGAGACTCGACCAGGCCACGCATCACATCCTTCCCCTCGCCGTCTGCCAAATCGCCGACATTGAGACGATGGCTGGCGCCAGGGAGGTTAGCCACGAGCTGACGATTGAGGTCTGCGGTCTCCAATTCGCACGCGCGTAGGGAGTCGAGCTTATCGGTGGCCTGCTAAATGACACGCAACTGCTTCTTGATGTCGTTCGTGAATTTATTTTGCTTGGCCACGGCTCTGGCGAGCTTGTGGCCTGTGTTGGTGTGCTGCGTGAGGGCTGGCTTGCAGGCCGCCAAGGTTCTGCGCGCCCCCTGCAACTGAACGTCAAGACTTGCTTTGGCTTCGGAACCGCCGCCACCAAGCTTTTCCATTGCCTGGATCGCGGTTTCGCAACCTTTGATGTTGGCACGTACTTGTTTCTCTGTGCCCTCCTCTTTGGCAGTGCTTTGGCTAGACCGACCAGCAGGCACATCATTAGAAGAGGAGGTGACGACAAGCTTCTCGTACCGCTTCCGCAACTCATCAAGCTGTCGTTGTAACTTACCCTCACGAGAACGGCCGCCACCATGAGGACGACGTCCAGCAAGAGGAGACCAGGCGCCGTTGCCATTCGTGTTCGTCGAACTTTTTTTGGCATGCTGGCGGGCTGCACGGATGACTCGGGCAGGTGCTGAACGACCGCACCTGCGCCGGATCCTCGACGCCCAGTTCGCGTTGAGCCCGCATTCTCCACATGTCCAGAAAAAGGCTGCCGTGGGCCAGGCAGCACAGGCCCACCATCAACCACGGAGCCCCGTTTGTGAAAAGGGGGAGCAAGACACCCTGGAGTCTCCTTTGCATATCCAGAAAAGGCTGCCGTGGGCCGGGTAGCACAGGTCCATCATCAACCGTGGAGTCCCCATTTGTGAAAGGGGGGAGAAAGACACGCTGGGGTCTCCGACCCCGCCGAAAAACTGGCCCCGCAGCAGCTCCTGGCCGCTCTGAAGCTGCTACAAGCTCAGGTCACTGCGTGAGCCAGAACGGCTAAGGAGCGGGAGGAAGGAGGGGGAGGGGAGAAGGAGACCGAGGACCAGGAGGAGGAAACAGAGGAACGGTACGAGGAGTGGAAGGCGGGCGGAGGAAGACGGGGCGGGAGGAGGGAGAGGGGGAGGAGGTACGGAGCGGGACGGGGAGGGAACAGGGAGAAGCATGATGAGAACGCACGCGAAGAGCGAGGAGGCAAAGGGGAGGAGGGCGGGAGGAGCAGTGGTCGGAAGGAGGAGGAGGAAGCTTGAGGGAGGAGGGGTCGGAGGCTGGACGGAGCACGGACACACGTGATGATCGTGAGGAGGACGCCAGCGATGATGACGAGTTGGAGGAGACCGACGAGGAGGGCGAGCTGGAGGAGGGGCACAGGTGCGCTGAGTGTCGCTTGGCCCCCTAGCGTCGCGCCTGTGCATCTGCGGCCTCGGGGATCTTCAGGAGCGCTGCCTGAAGCCAGGGCGGACGGCGGCGGCGAGGGGAGGGAGGTTACTCGGCAAGTAGACTGCACCACCATAGCGTATGCAGACCCGCATAGGAGTGATGCGCTAGGCTGGGCTTGGAAGGAACAGCAAATAACAATAATCAGATTTAATGTTCGCTTTCATCTGCTCGCGTGTGCTTCAGCATGTATATCTCAAAACCCGCGGCATCCGCCCTCTTCGTCTTCGATCGTTCCCCCCTTGGGCGACCATCTCCCTTACCTGCCACGTGTAGCTGACGCAGCCCACAAAACAGGGAAGGGGGGGAGGTGGACGGTTTCCCCCGGGGCCGTAGGCGACCCGAGGAGGAGGAGGAGGAGGAGGAGGAGGAGGAGGAGGAGGAGTGGGACCGGGAGGAGGAGAAGTAGGAGGAGGATGAGGAGGAGGAGGAGGAAGAAGGGAGGAGGAGGGAGGGAGAGGAGGAGGAGTGAGGATGAGGAGGAGGGGAGGAGGAGGAGGAGGATGAGGAAGGAGAAGGGAGGGGAGGAGGGGAGGCAGGAGGGGAGGAGGGAGGAGGAGATGATGATGATTGAGGAGGCAGGAGGAGGAGGAGGAGGAGGAGGAGGCGAGGAGGAGGAGGAGGGAGGAGGGATGTGGAAGAGAAAGGAGGAGGAGGAGGAGGAGGAGGAGGAGGAGGAGGCAGGAGGAGGAGGAGGGAGGAGGGAGGAGGAGGAGGAGGATAGGAGGAGGAGGGAGGAGGAGGAGGAGGAGGAGGAGGAGGAGGAGGAGGCTGAGGAGGAGGAGGAGGAGGCGAGGAGGAGGAGGCTGAGGAGGAGGAGGAGGAGGAGGAGGACGAGGGCAAGCCAAACGGCAGAACCAAACGGGCGCCGGCCGGGCGGACCCGCACGGGCCGGCGGGCCCAGAACGGCCTGGTCGAGGGGGCGGGCCGCTGAAGCGCCAGTCCTGCACGGATCGCGAGGAAGTCTCGACTCTTATCCTCTTGCAAGGATGCCGCCAAGTATTCTCGCCCAGATC